ACTTGGCTTCTGGTGGTGGCAATATAAATAAAGTAAATGATGCTTCTTCCCACAGATATCTAAAGGGCATTTAAGGTATTTCTTATTAATATATGTGTATGTTATAGTGCCTGCCAATTAGAAACACATCCACACCCCCTCCCCACGAGAAATGCAACATGTCTCAACAAATGGACGTGCAGAATCTGTTCTCATATGTTTCTGAAACAAAGCCCAACTGAATTGGGGAGGAAGAGACTCAAACCTTTGTACGTAGGCTTGAGAAATAGTGCTTGGGGGATGGTCACTCAAGCTGAGGGCAGAGGAAACCTCGTTCTAAAGTTCCTTGATCCAGCCAGGGCAGGATGAAAATTCTCAGGCTCTTCCTCCACCTTCTCTCTAGCGTTCTCCTATGTCGCTTCATCGCTCGAAGCTCCTGATTAGGAGAGGGTGTTTGGGCACGATCGTGTCTATGGCCCTGGTGGCAGCAGTGGACCAGCTGTCACCCAGAGCGTCGACAGGAACGCTAGCCAGGTCAGCCGTGACACCTCTCATGGCATCCTGGAATCCAACAGGATCCAGTAGCCTTCGAGGGCGGACCATATAAATAGGTCCCTGCTCCCTGCGAGGGGGGAGTGCCACTGTGAGGTTACATTTTATTAGGTGGTGATCTGACCATGACAAGGGGACCGACATGAGGTCCGTCACCACCAGATCACACTTGCTCCAGCTGGAGGAAAAAACCAGGTCCAGTTTTTGACCACCCACGTGGGTGCGGCCGTTGACATGTTGGGACATGTTCAAGGAAGCCATGGTTTCCAGGAACTCAAGAGCTGGCCCAGAAGCCTCTGCCCCCGCACGCATGTTGAAATCACCCAAGACCAAAAGCCTTGGGGATCCCAGCAATGCCGTGGAGACAAAGTCAGCCAGCTCCGGTAGGGAAGTGGCTGGGTCGTGGGGAGCGCGGTAACATAGCAAAATCCCAATACCTTCCCTGGCCCCAATCGACATGTGGAGTGCCTCTAGACCCGGCTTTGCCACCGAAGAGCGCCTAGTAACCTGTAAGCTGGATTTATAAACAATGGCTACTCCCCCCCGCCCCTCCAGTCTACCCTGATGCTGGACGGCATAACCGGGCGGACAGATGAGAGCGCGAAGCCTGTCTAAAATAATATGGAGGATAGCTGTTATCCAAGCAGAAAATCCCCCCTCTCCATGTCGCTGAAATAGTCCAATGGAAAGGCAAGAGTCAGTGCAACTGGTTCCAGCGATGTCGCAGGAGTTGCCAGAACGACACGAACTGCCTCCGGGACTCCGGCTTCGGATTTTGCCTCAAGGTTAACTCCTGAAGCCTTTTCCATCAGTGGATATAGCCACAAGGCAGTGGAGGTTTGAAATTGGAGTTTTCCTTCTCTTAGATGGGCTGCCTTCCAAGGCTGATGAGCCCCATCGACCCAGTTGAATTGAACTAAACTCTGTATAAATACATGATTTAAAATCAGGATTCTAAACTGTGTTAGAAACCAAGGCAGATGGAAAAGGATTCCTGCTTCATGAAATATGTTTCCATGAGGACTGGGAAGATTTATATCACATTGGGGTTAAGTCTAAATGTACTGCACCTCTTTTTTATCCTTGTTGATAGTAATTGCCCCGTATTATTAGACCTGTAAACAGAGTATTTTCATAATTTAAGCAGAGATGCACAACTTGTGGTCTATGGGCCATTTGCCGAACCTGTGGCACCCAACGCACTACCCAACCTGAAAATAATTTTCTTGAAAAGGATTTTTGACATTCAAAAATTACTTTTGTACTCTTCATAGGATGTAGGGGTTTTTTGCTATGCCTTGAGGGTTCCGCACCACACCCTCAATTAAAAATAAAATAGGACAGTGAACACTGAAGAACACTAGAGTTTTCTCAGTTAAAAAAGTATGTTTTTAAAAAATGTTTCCAGTCATGCAAGTGAGTCTGGCCCTTGCCCTCCAAGGTCCAGGGATGACCCTGTGTAGTCCTGGACCTCTGAAAGTTGTCCACCGTGATCTAAGCCAAGGAAAAAATAAAAATATTTTCAGAGGATCAATGAAGAGTACTTCCCAAATGATTAAGAGGTAAAAACAGCATTTGTATTAAAAATGTATTTGGGGCTGGAATAAATATTTAAGGTTGAAAGACACTCCTATTAATAGAAATAAAAGAAAAAGAGGAAAGAGTAGACACGTTCTAGATGGGCAGTATATCAATCAATCAATCAATCAATCAATCAGTCAGTCAGATAGATAGATAGATAGATAGATAGATAGATAGATAGATAGATAGATAGATAGATAGATAGATAGATAGATAGATAGATAGATAGTAGTTCACTGGTTCTCACGTTTTGGCCATCCTGACATTTTGGACTTCCGAATCTCTGACCTATAACTATGTTGGGATGTCTGAGAACTCATGGCCAAAAACATCTGGATCATAAACACCTCACCAAAAGTTGAGAACCACTGTTGCAGTGTATCAGACCAGAAGAAAATATAGGCTATGTCAAAAATATAACTAATTTTTAAAAATTCCTACACTATTGTGCTGTGGGTAATCTTTGGCTCTCTAGATGTTTTGAACTACAATTCCTACAATAACATATGATTGGCAATATTGAGTGGGACTAATGGGAGTTATAGGCCAAGACATCTAGAGGTTCTTCATCTTTGCACTGCATAGAAGTACGTTGCAAGACAAATGTTTAAAAATGTGGTGAGGGTAGAGAATCTAAAGATAAACTATAGGAATAAACAGGATGTAACATGGCAATATAAAGAGATTTCTAGAATTGGCAATAGAATGTAATACCATTGTTGCCTTCTGTGGAGGTTTAAGAGACTGGAGCTGTCTTATGATTTTAGAGGAAATAAACATACAATGAAGTAGAGTTTGCTAGTCCCAACCCACCAGGTATGCTGTTCTCATGGGAAAGAGGTTTTCTGAAAAGGATAGCCTCCTCTGTTTGAAGAGGTTCTTTTGTGACCTGGAGTGTCCATAGGTTTATTATCCTTAATTCTCAACACCTTAAGAAAATTGTGCTGTAAATTCTTATTTTTCTTCTCAGATTTGGAGATGGGCACAACTATTCCCCATACTAGTGAGTTTAAGGGATTTTAGAATGTTCTGATGAGAATATTAAACTGTATGGTTGGAAAGGCAATAAAAGCTGTATCACAGTATATTGCTCATTTCACATTATTTCATGTGTCAAAAATGTCACTTCAAGTTTACTTAGAACTTGGCAGGTACTTAGTGTACGTTGAAAGCAATTTAAAAAGAAATGTGAGAAGCTAAACAAACTTTTGATTTGGCGCACTTCGCATGGTGAAATATCAGATTAACTCAAGGTGATGTCTGCAATAAAGACATGAGCACATGCAAGTATAAATCTGCAGAACTGCACTGGGAACCTTTAATTCTTGTACTAATAAAGCAAATGAAACTGCTTTTCAAGTATATTTGGCATCTAATGTAACTGTTTGGTAGTCTGTACAGCACTAGGAGCATTACCGACGCTAGTGTTACTAGATACTGTGTTGTGCTTATTTCCCCTTAATGGTTGGTAGTACTGTACTGTGTGTCCAGTTCATTAGGCTTTATTTCTCCTACACTTGGGTTGACAATCAGTATTAAAATGTATGTCCTCGCTTTACCTGTACGCTTGTTTCAGCATTTTATTTGGAATGTGTCTCATAGAATTTTAATCTTAATTTATTACTCCATATTTTGGTTAATAGTGATAGGAAAGGCACGTGATAAAAAGTCTGTACAATTCATCAAAAGTATTAAGAAAATGAGAGGGATGGGCAAATGACAAGAAAGGGGGTAGCAGGTCAGATTTTTTAGATATAGGCACAAGTCCGATTTGTATGTCACAGTAAAACAGGTATCCACAGAAACCGTGACTTACCATAGAGGCTGGTACATAGTGCCCACTTGTTATAGCAGCAGATGAGCAAACTGTAAGCAAGTCCCAACTCTCTGGTTTGTTTTCCTCTAGGCAAGCTAGATGATTAACCCTAAAATATACCATACAGTACGTCAATATTTCAGCTTGTCAGGGGGGAGGCCAGCCAACAAGCTGGAACTTGTTGGATTCATATGACACAATAGATAAGCCAAATACATAAACTCCACATTTTGTTTAGCTATTAGTCTTTAGCTAGAATTATTAACCAACCAGTCTTTAGTAGCCTATTGGCTTGAGTCCTCTTGGATTTCAGTCACTCAGTACTTTTTTTTACTCTGTTCATGCGGCCCTTTTACCTTTCAGCCAACTGATTTGCATCCTCCAAAATTAGCCTCTGCTTGGGTGCCTCTATTACTTTATACAATATTTTTAATTGTTCCTTCTCTGCACTTATTTTGCATTTGTTCATTTTTAAAAGACTAATAACCATACATTGCAGTAAATCTAAGATTTTGGCATTCTTGTGATCTAAGGTTAAGTAACATTAGGTGCTTAACAGATGTGTACTTGAACAAGTTTTTCATTATAAATATTTGTGTATTACCTTCCATCATAACCTAAAGCAGAATTTTCATAGAACTTCTGCAGTTCTGGAAGTGTGTAATAGTTCAGCCATTCTACGTACATTCCAAGTATGATTGTGCTGTTTAGTGCAAAAATATTAGCTTATTTTTTTGTATGATGTAACCATTTGGATAAAGTGTATTAATACGTACTGAGACTGAGAGAATTCCAATCATTCTTTGATTTTCAGTTTTTTTCAGTGTGCACTTATACTTTTTGTAAGCTGATTGGAACATATCCATTTTTGTAGAGATGAAAAGTTGTGTGATACTATAGAATAATAATAAAACAAAATAAAGTTCATTTCTAGACTTTGTGTTTTGATGTATTGGAGATATTGCTAACATTGTTGGATTCCATGATTATGCACCGTAAAGTAAAATAAATCAGCATTGTTGTGTCAGTTGGTTTAAATATGCATTTAAATTTGCATTTTTGTTCTTTGCAGATGATTTCTGTAGAAATATCAGAGTATTCATCGGACAGTGAAAAGCTGGATGAATACAGAGTAGCCTCTGAAGCTACTAACTTAAATTGTCGTCGGAACGTCCCGTTCAGATCTGGAACAGGGATTGAAATGGATATGGGAAAATCAGCACGTGACTGGTTAAAAGCTGCTCAGACCCTTCTGCAAACACCTAAGAAAAAGGCAGACAAGAGTTTGAGAACTCCAGAAGATTCTGCAAAGAAAAGAAAATTACTGAGGCTTGTATTAAGTTTTTCAAAAGTAGTACCCCAATAGTAATTGTTGTTCCGTAAAATACTTATTAACCAAAGAGTGCTTATTTTCAATATTTGTGACTTATTTGTAAACCTTCTGTGAATGTGGGGGTTAACATCACATTTGCCAGCTAAAATGGCTTTGTCTCTATACTGAAAAGAATTTATTTCTGTTTTATTTCCTGAACATGATCCTGGAAATGAAAAATGACATTTGAATTGAATGTTGTGTCACTTCATTACTCTTCACATGTTTTTGAGGTCTTTGCCCTATTTGGTCAAATTTCTGAATATGCTTTGGTTTCTGAAAGATGAGGAAATGCTTCCTATTTAAGACTTCCCTACTCAGAACGTCTTTCTAAAGCACCTCCCCTGTTTTGTTGCAGCATTTTGAATTTTTCTTAAATTCCTTTGTCTATGCAACAGAAGTGCAGGGATTCATAGAGCAAAATATCTTCAAGTTTCCCAGATGAGCCCAACTCTTTTTCTCATCAGTTGGCACTTACAGTTCCAATAACTTACTCTGAAGCAGTAGTTGGAGAAAGAATAAAGGTGTTTCATTTACTTACAGTGAACAGATAACTGGAAACTGAGAACAAACATGACTGCTTGAGTAGCAGGTCTCAACAGACTGACTTCCAACAAACAACAGAGAGGGGAAAAAAAGCAGAGCAGAGGGACGGGTCTATCTTTGAATCAGAGGCAGGAAAGAAACTGTTGATTAGTGCTCTTAGTGACTGACAGTCACCGCAGCCCAGAATGGTTACCTCACAGCCAAAACTACTAAAGGCAGCATGTGAGGTTGCAAAGACTCCCAGCAGTTTTCACTTTACAGTAGTCTGGTTCTCTCACATAATTTTACCACTTCTGTTTTCCTGTGGGTCTTATTAGCATATGTGATTGTGCAGTGTGATGACATGAGGTTGTAAGTTAGTTTAGTAGTAACTGCCATTGCACACAATCATAAAAATGTGAGTGAGGCTGCTTTACGTGTAGCATCACTGAAATATGAAGTACAAAAAAACCAATTTATTAAATTGATATTTTCAGAGTGGCAAATCATGTCTTAAATAATGATGATTAGTTTTGTGACATTTTATTTTACTATTACTTTTTAGTACTGCTCATATAAATGCTTTTTAAAAGTAGTATTGTGAGACAGGCAAAGCCAACCCAACACAAACCTTTACAGTGGTGCCTTGACTTAACAAACTTAATCCATTCCAGAAGATGGTCGTAACTCAAAATGATTGTAAGTCGAAGCATCATTTCCTATAGGAATGCATTGAAACGCAATTAATCCATTCCAGCCGTTTTTTGGTCGTATCTCAAGGCGCCGGTCGCAAGTCGAAGCATTCGTTCCAATAGGAACGAATGAAAAAGCAATTATTCCGTCCAATACCACCGGGGGGGGGCTTTTTTAACCTAAGATGACTTAGGTTTAAAAAAAGAGCAGGAAATGAGGGAGGGAGGAAACAATGGGGAAAAGAGGAAAGAAAGGTCATCACTGGGACACACAGACCCCTTCAGACAAAGGTTTGTGCTTTTAAGCACAAAAAGGGAGGATAGAGAGAGAGAAGACAATGGGGGGGGGAGAGAGAGACTTTGGAGTGTAAAACACATTTTAAAGCCACACATTTTAAACCAAAACCTTTTAAACCAAACATCTTTTAAAACAAAAGAGAGGTCACAGTACACAAATTCTAGGAGCAACAGAATACCAAGAATGAATGAATGAATGAATGAATGAATGAATGAATAAATAAATAAATAAATTCCAGCACCCATTCCAGTAAACAGACCCCTCAGACAAAGGTTTGTGGTTTTAAGCACAAAAAGAGAGAGGAGAGCGCAAAAAAATGGTCTGAAGCGCATCATTAAAAATCATTAAGTCCTTTAAGTCTTCCTCACTTTCTGCCATCAGAGTGGTATCATCTACATATCTGAGGTTGTTGATATTTCTTCCGGCAATCTTAATTCCGGCTGGGGATTCCTCCAGTCCAGCCTTTCTCATGATGTGTTCTACATATAAGATAAATAAGCAGGGGGACAAGATACAGCCTTGTCGTAGTCCTTTCCCAATTTTGAACCAATCAGTTGTTCCATATCCAGTTCTAACTGTTGCTTCCTGTTCCATATACAGATTTCTCAGGAGATGGATAAGGTGGTCAGGCACTGCCATTTCTTTAAGAACTTGCCATAGTTTCCTGTGGTCCACACAGTCAAAGGCTTTTGCGTAGTCAATGAAGCAGAAGTAGATATTTTTCTGGAACTCTCTGGCTTTCTCCATAATCCAGCGCATGTAAGCAATTTGGTCTTAAGTTCCTCTGCCCCTTCGAAATCTAGCTTGTACTTTTGATATTTCTTGGTCCACATCCTGCTGAAGCCTGCCTTGGACGATTTTGAGTATAACCTTGCTCGCATGTGAAATGAGTGCAATTGTACAGTAGTTGGAGCATTCTTTGGCACTGCCCTTCTTTGTGATTGGGATGTAGATTGATCTTTTCCAATCCTGTGGCCACTGCTGAGGTTTGCAAACTTGCTGACATATTGAGTGTAGCACCTTAACAGCATAATCTTTTAAGGTTTTAAATAGTTCAATTAGAATGTCATCTCCTCCACTGCTCTTGTTGTTAGCTATGCTTTCTAAGGCCCACTGGACTTCGCTTTCCAGGATGTCTGGCCCAAGGTCAGCAACCACATTTTCTGGGTTATCCGGGACATCCAGATCTTTCTGGTATAACTCCTCTGTGTATTCTTGCCACCTCTTCTTAATGGGTGGTTGGTGCATAAACCTCTTCAGCATGGGTGGTTGATGCATAAACTTGGATTACTGTGATGTTGAAAGATCTGCCTTGGATTCATATTGAAATCATTCTATCATTTTTGTGATTCTATCCCAGTACAGCTTTTCCCAATCTTTTGTTGACTATCAGGGCTACTCCATTTCTTCTACAGGATTCTTGCCCACAATAGTAGATATGATGATCGTCTGAATTGAATTCGTCCATTCCCGTTCATTTTAGTTCACTGACACCCACGAGGTCAGAGTTTTTTCTTGCCATCTCCTGTTTGATCACATCCAGCTTACTAAGGTTCATAGATCTTACATTCCAGGTTCCTATGTCGTATTTTTCTTTGCAGGATCGGACTTTTCTTTCATTTCCAGGCGCGTCCACAGCAGAGCATGCTTTCGGCTTTGGCCCAACCACTTCATTAGCTCTGGAGCGACTTGTACTTGTCCTCTGCTCTTCCTCAGTAGCATGTTGGATGCCTTCCGACCTGAAGGGCTCATCTTCTAGTGCCATATCTTTTAGCCTTTTGTTTCTGTCCATGGAATTTTCATGGCAAGATACTGGAGTGGCTTGCCAGTTCCTGCTCGATTGTGTTTAGTCAGAACTCTCCACTATGACCTGTCTGTCTTGGGTGTCCCTGCACGGCATAGCCCATAGCTTCTCTGGATTACTCAAGCCCCTTCGCCACAAAATGGGAGAAATCCGTGAAGGGGTTCTAACTTTACTCAACAGTAAATCTATGTTATCAAATGTACAACTTAGCTGTTTGTCTAATGAAGCTAGAATACTAGCTATGGGTTACATCCAAACTAACCACTCTATAGATTGTTCAAAAACATAGTGTAGAATAAAGGGAAATATGTACTCATCTTCCCTGTGAGCCTCACTGTATTTTTTGTATCAATTTGTTACTGAAGATGCCCCAAGGTAGATAATCTTTGCGTATATATAAGCAAGTACAGTAGTGCCTCACACAACGATGTTAATTGGTTCCAAAAAAATCAACGTTGTGTGAAACATCGTTCTGTGAAACACCATTTCCCATAGGAATGAATTGAAAACCGGTTAATCCGTTCCAATTGGAACAGATTGCCATCTTTAAGTGAAAAAACCCATAGGAAACATCGTTGAGTGAAACAATGTTTCCTCCATTGGAATGTATTGAAGCCGACTCAATACATTTCAATGGCTTTACGAAGTCCTTTTTCGCTCCTGTAAAAGTGCCTTACAGTGTTTGGAACAGGTTTTAAATGCTTGCAATCGTTAGCCCACCTCCTGAACCCTATGCAAACTTA